GAACAGCCCTTCTGGTTTTACATGCAGAATATATTCCAGAGACAGCTTCTACTGACAGTCTCCATTGCCACCAGGCTGACCTAAGCCACTGTCATCTGTCAGGTGGGCTGCCATTGCAGCTTCTTTAGTGACTTGCTGTTTCCATGTTTGCCATGCCAATCTATTCCATACTACAGAATAACCTTTTGCCAAGTGCAAACAAAAGCTATCATTTTCCTGGTTAAAAATTTCATCATTTTTTTCATCATGCTTGAAGTAAAATTCAAACTCATTGCTGTACCTACAAGGCCTTTTGTAACCCTATGTAACTTGGCCCTGCCTCCCTCTGAATTTATGTTCTGTATTCTAGTCTGTACTTCCCGAGCACCCAGGGTTTCTTCTCACCTTAGGGTCTTTGCATTTGCTTATTCATCTGCCTGGAAAGTTCTTTCCTCAAGTCTTTACATGGTTAGCTCCTTACCAAAAGAGGCCTTTCCTGACCCTTGATATAAAGTAGCCCCTGCTTGAGTCACACCTCTATCATTTACCAGGATTCGTTTTCTTCACAGTGCCTGTCACTAACTGGATGAATTTCTTTATTGACTTTTAAGTTTACTTGTCCTAACCTGTCAACTAGATTTAAGCAAGGACTTCATTTTTTTCATTGCTATATCCCAGTGCCTAGAAGACTCCTGGCATATAGTACATATTTATTGAATCAGTTAACTTAGAGATTTGAATGCCTGGAGCAGGGAGCATACTTCAGTGTTTTCAGTACAGTGAGAGTACATTGAAGGTTTGTCAGTGGGAATGAAGGGGTGGAGCTCAGTACAAGTGCAATCATAGGGAGAACTGTTGGGATTTGACATGGTTTCATATTTTGAGTCATTGAAGAGGGAAGAGGTAGAGAGTTATGAGCTTGGATGAGCTATTAGAAACCTTGGAGAAGCTCCTGGATTAGGTGGGGAAAAGAACTGTTCTAGAAGTGTCAAGAGTCTGAGTGCTGGTGGGGTGGAGGTTTCTAGCAGCAGTTGGAATGTGAACTTGTCCAGAGTTTCCCATTCCCTAAGAGGTATTGCTGCCAAGCAATCAAGGACTATGGGCTCAAAGACACATGAGGGAAAGAAAGCTGCATTCTCTGTTCAATTGTGGCATTGCTATGACAAGTCACTGAACCTCTCGGAACCTTAGGTTCTTCATCTATAGCATGATAAAAATACCTCATGGCATAGTGGTGTTGGGGAGGAAAAACTTTACTCTGTCTTTCAAAAGTTCTTCCAGCTGGCCTAAGATTACATTGACAGAAGAAAATTTAATTTCTTACATTGAGAATCCCCTGTACATGAGAGGTTCAAAGACAGAAAGGTAAAATGAGGTATTTATGCCGTGCTGAGCTAGGGAATGGTATAGGGGCCTGGGGCTTCAAAGGGGAGGAGAGCAATAAGAAGAACAAATGTTTGGTAATTAGATATTTGCTGGGCCATACAAATGGGTTGCTCAGATAAAACTTATCCCTGATGATAACTCTGATTCTGAGAAAGACCCTCAATTTAGATTCTTTTAGGTAGTTAAGGGAGAGGCAGACTTTTCTGTTGAGCCCACAGGGTCTCATTTGCCTTCAGCTCAAAATAGTCCACATGCCAAAATGACACATTTTGGGAAGATTTGCTCTGAACCCTGTCAGTGGTTCTGAAAATTAAACTATAGAACATGAAAGCATGGAACCAAGCCCTGATGCAGAGTAGTTTCTCAATGACTGTGAATTTCCTGTCTCCTTCCCTCTTCTTTAAGAGGCTAAGGATTAAAAAATTTACTCCAGTTCCACAGTTTAAATTTGTGTTGTTTTTCTTTGCAAGGCAAAACAAATAAGTGGTTTAAAAAGACAAACAATACCCCCAGACTTAAAATGAAAATGAATGGTTCCCTGTTCCAACTCCAATTCCCTGACCCCCAGTTTCCTCTCTCCTGAGGCTACTACTTTTAAGTCTCATAGCTATTTCTTTTAGAACTTAAATCTGTAATTCAAAATAACACACTTCTACTACTATTCGTTCAGTTTTCAATTTTAGATATTATTTAGATATCAAGATATCTTCGTATTCATACCAGGGAAGGCAAGGATTTAATTCCCCTATATTTCCAACCCCAAACCTGCACATACTACATGCACCACTCCTCTCAATGTATTATGTCCCCCTCCCCCATTTTTAAGCTCAGCAGTATTGTGAGTTTATATTTTTGACTCTAGCTATTGACATCTGAACTATATAGTGGACTGTGATTCTGTTTCCTTTCTTATACAAATTCTTATTTTTTTCTGCCATTAATATTTGCCTCATTATTTTTTAGTATTCTTTTTGTTTGTTTTTTATATGAACCACTGTTTGATTATCAAATTTCCCTTAAAATCTGAAACATTTTCACTCAATAATTTCAAACCCAATGTGTATTTTGTAAGTTTGGTTTATCTTCCCCTTGGAAATATGTTTCCAGCCTTCTCTGGCATCCTGCTCCAATTTGGACTGCTTCCTCTCTAAGCCTGCTGCCTAGCTGGGTGTCATCTAGGAATCTTTTTGTATTCCCTTGTTTTGGGTCCCCTATATCCAGATCTTATTTTCTTTCTCATTATGTACCTATTCCTTCACTTTGCCAAAGCACATTCATTCTACAGCTTTCTGAGAAAGTAGATGGGAGGTGAATTCTTTGAGACTTTGTAGAGCTTCATTCTTTTTTCACACTTGATTGACATTTTGGCCTCATATAGAATTCTAGGTTGGAAGTAATTTTCCTTCAGTATTTTGACGATGGTGCCTTCTAACTTTCTAGTTTCCACTGTTATGTTGAGAAATCTGATGTCATTATGATCCGCTTGGGGTGTGTGTGTGTGTGTGTGTGTGTGTGTGTGTGTGTGTTTGTGTTTTCACATGGAAGTTTCTGGACTTTTTTTATTTCAATATTTTGATATTTCACAGTGATATATTTCTGCGGCACTTTTTTTTTTCATGAATTGTGCTGGGAGGTTGATGAGCCTTTTCAAGCACTCACCTTTCAATTCTTGGAAATGTCTTTGAAGGGTTATTTCTTCTATTCTCTCCTTTTGAAACTCCTATTATTCAGATATTGGATCATGTGGCCTGTTCTCCCAATCTTTTTCTCCCATTTTCCAACATTTTCACTTTTTTTTTGCTCAGTGCATTTGCCTGTTTTTTCTGTGTTGCTTTTCTATTTTGGTCTCTGTCTTTTCTAGAGGCCTCACTGAAACAACTAGTGAACCTAGGTTGTCTATACTATGTAGCAGTTATATACCAATAAACTGAACTGAAAACCTTCTGAAAGAGCCACACTTGTCATCTGTAAGCCCTTACCATAAGGCAGTTTTTGTTTAGGGTCTCTCAAGTAGGTCTTTATTCTCGAGATGGTTGTATGACTGGATGGAATTATCCATTCACTTGTTTGAAGTATATCAGTTTGACTTCCTATATCCTGGGAGCCTATGGGTAAAGGAGCCGGTTATTTCACTGTTTAGCATAAAGACTTCCATTTCCATCTCCTGTGTTCATTGTGGAGACTCCCTCCTGCCTTATGCGGAGTCTGATGACCCCAAGACTAAAGTCCCCCTGGTTTCTACTCTCTAGAGAATAAATATCCTGGTGTATTCTGTGTTGAGACGAAGTAACTTCCTTTCTAGGTAGGAATCTAAGGCTTTCAATCAGGGGTTGACAAGCTAGTTCTGTTAAGGGCCAGAAAGTAAAAGTTTTAGACTTTCAGGGCTACATCATGGTGTCTATCACACATTCTTCTCCTTCTCATCCTTTTCTTAAAAATAACCCTTTAAAATGTAAAATAAACATTCTTAGTTTGCAGACAGTACAAAAACAAGTTGCAGACCAGACAAGTCATACCTACTGATACCTGGTGTAGAGGGTCCTTTTGGACACTCTGAACCAACCGTCTTCATTTCAGCCCTATCTTGCATCCTTGTCTTCAGAGGAACTTGAAGCTTCTATTTTCTGATTCTTTTTGGGTTTTATGACAAAACTGAGTGATTTCTTATAGGTGCACCCCCCCCCCCCAATTTTAACCATGTTCCCCATGAAAGCTTAGGTTTTAGCTTCTGCAGGTCCACTAGATGAGCAACTAATATCCATCTTCTTTTCATTTTCTAAAACGTGAGTTTTTTCTTGTTTGCCTTTCTCTCTGTCCTTATTGGGTCATGCCTTTAGAAGGAGTAGAGATAAATATATATGTTTAATCTAGTAAGTTTAACCAGGAGCTTCCCCCAAATCCAGCTTCGTTGGTTTTTATTTTTTACTATTTTCTTTGATAGTGCTTGGGTTAATTTTGCATTTGTTCTCCACGTGCTTACTTGCTATGCCAGATGTTTGAAGAAGATGTCCTTGGGGAGGAAAAATGAGGGGTTTTAAAATGTAGTGTTCTTGAAATGCTCACAATGGTTCAGTGTGTGAGATCCCAAAGAGGCCCAGTTGTTTCTAACCATCAGACTCTCATAATAGAAATACAGTTTCACCCTTATTTGTGTAAACCATCAGGATCATTTTTAAATGTTTGTAATAAAGTTTGTGGCTTATTGTTTAAAATTGAACTTAAGGTAGTAAATCAAAGCTTTTGGTGGCATGCCCCTGACAGCGGGGAGAGCCTGGTAAATGATCCCTAAAAGCTGATCAAAGAGACTTGCTGAGCATTTTTTCCTGTATTTGTGTTTTGGTCCTTTAATCTGGTAGTGTTTCCAGTTCCATTCTGAATACTGTAATGCACACTCCACCCCCACTCAAGTCTTCTTGGCGGCATCTGGGATTGTCTTTGCCAAACAGCCCCCGTTCAGGCATAAGCCTGCCTTTGCCATCAAGCCTACACAAGATTCGAACACAATGATTGTCAGAAAAATGGGCATCTTTCAAGATTTTATTCACACCACATTTTTGTTCTTGTAATCAAATGAAAATTGAAAATGAAAAAAAGTAAAATTCCCTGAAAAACGACCATTTGCCATTTCTGCCTAGGTTCACCTTTCCTGGCCAATGAAGATGGAGTGCTTGGAGGAGTGATTGTTCTCCGAACTTGCAGATGTTCTGCAGAGTCTGACTCCTCCCAAGATAAGCAGACACTTCTAGGTAAGCTGGATATACACCTTACGGTGTGTCTTTTTCAGTTTTTCAAGATACAGAAAGAATTTTTCCTTAATAAGCTATGGGAACACTAGAATGCTCCCTTGGTATCTAAAGATGTCTGTCCTACTAATCTTTTTGCATAGGTAAACACGTAAAAGATGAATATTCAGTTTTAAATATATGCTTACAGCATATTTTTCAAATGGGCTTAGAACCTACGACCTTCACTAACGTCCAATATTAAGAACATCGGACCGTGTATTTGTTTGCTGCCTTATTCCACAAAGCATTTGAGATGACTCATAATAACATACCCAGTAACAAACATAGAAAGAAGCTTCTTCCTCTTCCCCCTCCCAAAAAGGAATCAGAACCACGTGAAGAGCTACTGGTCTAGGAGTCTGTTCTGGCTCCATCGCTTATTAGCTATGACGCCTTTGTATATGGGTCTTACTGTTCTGTGCCACTTCCTCTTCTATAAAATAAGGACATCTGCCTTGCCCTCCTCATAAAGCTGTGGTGAAGAAGGGTCAAATGAGTGATTTGCAGATGTCCATCCAGATGTGTGGTTTTGTGTCTAGCCAAGTGTACCAGTGGGGTTAAAAAGGAGCCAGTCCCCCATTTGCCAAGGCACGAGACTGTGGGGCTGCCTCTGCCCACAGGGGTGCCTTTTTCTTTCATTCATCCAGAGGGGACTTTTTTTATGACTCCATAAAGGTGCCACAGAAGGTAGGAGGGGGCCCTATATGGTTTTTTAATTGACTTTTTAATTACATAGATGTACATTCAGAAAAGTACACAAATTATAACTTCAACTGCTTGATGAATTATTATAAACTGAACCCACTCATGCAGCTAGCACACAGATAAATAGTAGAACTTTACCACAACCCCGGAAGCTCCCTGGCAACCACCTCCATTCTTTACCTCTCCAGAGTTAGCCACTATGCTGATTTTAACACCATGATTAGCTTTGCTTGGCTTTATATTTTATATAAATGGAATCATGGAATATGTACTGTATGTATCTGATGTGTTCAGTCAGCATTAAGCCTGTTATATTTATCCACGTTACATGTGGCTACATGTGGCAGTAGTTTGTTCATCTTCATTACTGTATGGTATTCCATTATGCAGATATACCACTGTGTATTTATCTTTTCTTCCTTCAGTATTTTTTTTAAATATAAATGCTATAGATCATCCACAGGAACTGTGGTAGTTAAACCCTTTGTATAAATTTTCCTACAAAAAGTGTGGATACTGCCTGATCTATACTGTATGACTGTTGTGATTTGCTATAGTAGAAGCTGAGTCTATGAATTAGAAAAACAAGCATTTCATTAGACTGTAAAAAAGTATTTTTTCTATAGGAGCCCAAAGAGCTTTCATAAAATTTCTCCCCTAATTACTCAAAGAGGAAAAAAAATGGACTTTGGACTCCGACTACTAATCTCATCTTTTTTTTTTTTTTCCTCCTGTATTCTCTTTCTCTTTCCATGCACTATATTTGGTACCCAGGTTGCTCCCAGGATATGTATTTTTAAATGGCTGTTTTTTGTTAAACCAATTCAAATTAGCCAATTGTTTTTTTGGTATCTTTAATCATTAGTGAATCATTTGAATAAATCTTCCATAGTTAGATAGAAGGGAGTTTGCTTTTAAAATATGTAAGAGGAAGGAGTGCCTGGGTGGCTCTGTCAGGTAAGCATCCATAGTTTGGTTTTGGCTTAGGTCATGATCTCGCGGTTCATGAGTTTGAGCCCCGCATTGGACTCTGCACTGACAGTGGGGAGCCTGCTTGGGATTCTTGCTCTCCCTCTCTCCCTGCCCCTTCTGTGCTCATGCTCTCTCTCTTTTTCAAAGTAAATTTAAAATATATATATATATATATATATATTTTTTTTTTAATATATATATATGTAAGAGGATATATATGGGCCTTCCATAAAAACTCAGAATAACCCTTAGCACTGGGACCAGGGGACTAGTTATTAAAACTGCTTCATAGACTGTTCCTAAGATGGACTATCAGTTCCTTACTGGGCCAGGACTCTTGTCCTTTAAGTTAATCCTGAAAACTGTAAGGTTGTCCTTTCATTTTTGGTGGTAGAGTATAGAAATGCATATATGTGGATAAATCATAGAATTTCAGCTCATGTTAGAGAGCTTTTACCACCAATGTATTAATTTGTAAACTGATTCCTAGAAGAATGAAATGTAAAGTGTGAATTTCTAAAATAAGTGAAATCTTGCCATTTGTTAACTAGAGTGATTTATTTTCATAAAGTTTATCTAAAATCTGGTGGACATAGGCTAGATTATACCAATTATGTGGATTTTTACATTTGTTTGCTTCAAAAGAGTTATGTATGTTCAGTACAGATAAGAAAGCAAATCTAGGGCAGAAGTATAGGAAAGGAGATGTAAAAGTCACCTTGGCCACTCCAGTCTCAGAGTCACCAGTCTCTAGTTCTGGTTACTCTTTTTTTTTTTTTTTTTTTTTTAATGTTTATTTTTGAGAGGGGGGGGAGGGTGGAAAGAGAGGGAGACACAGAATCCAAAGCAGGCTCCAGGCTCCAAGCTGTCAGCACAGAGCCTGATGCAGGGCTCAAACCCATGGACCTTGAGATCATGACCTGAGCTGAAGTCATATGCTTAACCAACTGAGCTACCCAGTTGCCTCATGGTTGTGGTTATTCTTGCAGGAAACATCTTCACTCTCTAGAATATGCTCATGCTTCTGTTTCTTGGTTAGTCAGTAGTTTGTGACTCCTTTTTGGGGAAAAAAAATGTAGTTCACACCACTTTCCTCCTGACTTTTTATAGAGTTCTACTCTAAGTTGAAATAATAAAATTTAATTTTATTGCAACTGTAACATATTGTTTCTTGATTTATTTTTTTGATTCCTCAACTTTATACAATCTCTGTCAACCATACCTCATCCCTTTGACTATGTAAGTTCAGGAAAGTTTGTGTGCTCTTCTTTTCTCTTCTTTCCCCACTCCATCCTTCACTGAAATCTCTAGCAATAATACCATGGTTATTAACATCCACATTCTGTCCTATGTCTAACTTGTGTTTTACACTTTGATTAGAGGTTCTGAACAGTGACAATTATTAACCAGTAGAGACAGTATCAAGATTGTATAAATATTATTCACTGCAGATTCCAGTAGCAGAAGATTGAATCCATAAGAAGTGTCTGTCATAAACCTCTGCCTGTAAAAGAAGAGTATTTAAAATATCAAGGTCAAGTAGATTTTTCCATGCTATATATACCCCATCAGTAGGCTACAACTTAATTTGCCTCATTTCTGGACCATAACTTCTCCTATTGCCTTATGGAACTCTCATGAGAGTATAACTTTATAAACTCATGGTTCTTAATAATATTCCTTAGTAATATCTAGTAACCAGGAGAGCTCAGAAGTCTTTCTTTTCTACAATCCAAATAAAATAACTCCCAAAATTAAAAAAAAAACTTTGATTGCTGTATATTGTTTAATCATTTTTTTTTTTACAAATAGTTTATTGTCAAATTAGTTTCTACATAACACTCAGTGCTCATCCCCAAAGTGCCCTCCTCCATGCCCATCCCCCCCTCCCCCCCACATCCATCAGTCCTCAGTTTTTGTCAGCATTCAAGAGTCTCAATCTGAAGAATAGTATTGGGGCGCCTGGGTGGCTTAGTCGGTTAAGCGTCCGACTTTCGCTTAGGTCATGATCTCGCGGTTCGTGGGTTCGAGCCCCGCGTCGGGCTCTGTGCTGACTGCCAGCTGAGAGCCTGGAGCCTGTTTCAGTCTGTGACTCCCTCTCTCTCTGACCCTCCCCTGCTCACGCTGTCTCTCCCTCTCTCTCTCCTAGAAATAAATAAAACATTAAAAAAAAAAAATCTGAAGAATAGTATAATCAAAATAGTCTCTAACTTAAGCTTTTTGTGTGTCCACTCTCTTTTCTGAAAATCGTAAATAATGTTTCCATTACACCACAAGAGCAATTTCAGTCAAACCCTATTGTCACTTGGTGGAATTTCCAGAAATCCATTACTGAGCCTTTGCTTTTGACAAAAACATCAATTACAGGAGCCCCAGTGGGCCACTTCAAGTGGAGGGATGCCTCAAATACGGGGCGTTTTTCCAGTTTTATCCTCTGTTAACTGATTATGAATAGAATTCGTGAATATCAGGTATGAAGGAATATTCATAATCTTCTTGTGTGACCTTGTTACATGTGCTTTGTCCATAAATTGTTTGCAAGAAGAGGAGCTTAATTCTTCTCCCTGAGACTCACTTCTAAGGCATAAGAATATGGCAACGTGGTAGAGTGTGACTTCTTAGGGTAGATCAAAAAAGGCATTGTGTGGATGCCTGGGTGGCTCAGTTGGTTAAGCATCTGACTTTGGCTCAGATCATGATCTCACTGTTCCTGAGTTTGAGCCTCACATCAGGCTTCATGCTGATAGCTTAGAGCCTGGAGCCTGTTTCAGACTCTGCCCCTCCCTCCCTCACATCTGTCTCTCCATCTCTCTCTCAAAAATAAACATTAAAAAAAAATTTAAAAAGGCATTGTGACATCCTCCTTGCTTTCTCTGTTGGATCACTCACTTTCAGCAGAACCAACTGCCATGTTGTATGGATACTCAGGCAGCAGTATGGAGAGGTCCATGTGACAAAAAACTGAGACCTCCTGCCAGGGGCCAGCAAGGGATTGGGGCTTCTTGCCAATAGCTTCAGCTCTGAGTGAGCTTGCAGATAACTGCATCCTTGAAGGAGAGTATGAATTTCTGAGCTAGAATCACTAAACAAAGCCACTCTTGAATTCCTCACCTACAGAAACTGAGATAATAAATGTTTGTTGTTTTAAACCACTACACTTTGGGGGTAATTTATGCCAAAATAGATAATTTGCAAACCTTTTAAACCCTCTCACTACCAAATGGGCCTCTGGTTTGTCTAAATGGCTATGATAACAAATCGAGGTGCTCTGTTTCATCTTTAGG